TAAGAACTTTACAGTAACTAATTTGAGACAAGTGGTAGCATCCGATTTTGTGAAAAACTGGTTATAATTGGTAATTTTAAGTTTCAATCAATTTTTTGCACTCCAAATAATCTTTACTCGTCAGGTAATGGGAACATAAAATTAAAGTAATTTTAAGGTCAAAGTTTGGGACACTTTCCTGGGAGTGCAAGAATATCGGTTTAAGAAGATTTATGCCGCAGAAACCAGAATAAATTAAGATCGGAGACCATGGGCGTTTTTTTCATTCAGATTTACATGAACTGTGAGTGTCCTTAAAGTACGAACCAATTTGGCGTTATATCTAGGAAATTGATGTGCATTTAAATTCACTCCAGAAGCAATATACAAACTTTACTTATTTCGAATAGGTTAACATTGTCTAATGCGGCTTTCTTAGTGGCCAAAAGCCCTTTGGAATCTGCATCTAAATGGTCGTCAATCCACGGGGCGATACAATGCAATAGATTTTATATTTTAGTACATGAAACACCGTCAAAGATAACTAAGTAAGGAATCACGAAGCGGAAGGAATAAGGGTATTGAAGGTTTTCTGGGTGTCAGGTTGTTGACTTAAAATTGAAAGACTGTAATATTTTCCTCTGCCAGCAAATACCAATCACCATCATCATCATTTCAATCATTTCATGATTTAATGGTTGGTTATGCTGATATTCCCTACCCCATACCTGGGTTCAGTCATGACACCCTCTATCTACTAAACCTTACATATAAAGAAACATAATTACCTAAAAAATGAGGCATATTTTTCTATTTTATAATTGTTAAAGTAAGATGGTATAAAACATTGAACATGAGTCTTGCACGTGGATTGGATTGAATGGACTCGGTCTCAAGCGGATCACGGAAATTAGAATTTTTTTGAGACAGCTTCACTTGCTAGACATATACGCTATTATTCATATCTATAAGCACGAGTTGACTCGAAAATCGAACGATTTGGTAGTACAAACATCATAGAATACAATAGTTTAGGTCAAATTACCTCAGCCAAGTCACAAAGATGGGACAGTGTCTTCTCAAGTATGAAATTCCTTTTCCTTACACTCATTGATGAGTTCTGTGTTATTGGTGACATGCAGAGGTAACTTTTCAAGCTATTCCTCCTAGGACTTGTTGTATTTCCTGAGACTTTTGGCTGGCTCTCTTTCACCGGGCTATTCGGTGCCAGCGATTCCTTCTCAAGTCCACAAAGGGAACACTTTTGAACTAGTCCGATCTGTTTATCCTCTGGATTATTATCTTCCGGTTTCATCGGTTGACACTTAGGTAGCGGTTGGCCCAACTCCTTTGCCATGCGAATCAGACACCTCACCATAGAATTCAAGTCGTTAAAATGCTGAACACAACGAGAAAGGGTTGGGGTGTTGCCCTTCTCCAAGTCTTTAATGTTGATCAATTCGTAAATCTGAAAGATTTATTCGATGAATATTGCAGTAGATTACCTTAATGCTATCGAAAAAGACTTCCTCCATAGCGGTAATCTGTTCTGCGAGCTCCTTAACGCCATACAGTAAAAATCGATTCAGTCTGTGGAAAAAAGTATAATGAATAAGGACGAAACTCACCTTTTTTGGCATGTACAATATTTTGAATTTTCTTTAGTTGACTCGATTGCTTTCTCATGATTTTTATCAGTTGGTTGCTCCAATATGCCTCCTTTTAGGCCTCCGAGGGGTAAGAGATCTATTAGACATTCACTTATCCTATTCAGCTCAGCTGCAATTGGATTCAGGTAGTTTAATTTGGAATCATTAGGATCAGTGTGAAAGCAGACCAAATTTTCATCTTCACTCTCGTCAATAACGCAGACATTTCGACCGGAAGACTTCTGTTCAGCAATTCGAGCGTCTACCTTTAGCAGCTGAGCAAATCTGATTATCTTTGTCTCTAGCTTGCAGTCATACAGTCGTCTTTCTGTTCGAGTAAGCTGAAAGAAGGTCGAGTCAGTATGAATCGCTTTGCGTTATAAAAGGAAAGGGGAGCAATATAATCGTTATTTTACCAGTGTGTGAAGAAATTGCAATATGTTCAAAGCCTCACTCCATTGAACATCAAAGTCCATCTCCTTTTCGCTCACTTCAATGCATCCTAAACCACCAGGCTCGATAGGAACGAAAGCCAGATAGCGCTGTATGAGTCTATTAACAACTTCCATTGGAATGGTGAATGTGGGGTAGAGTTGTATGAAGATGTTTGAAATTAGGCTCTCGTAAGTATCTAAAGAATGCAGGAACAAATCAATTCGCTTTTGTTTTTTCCCTAAAGAATGCTTTGTCTAGTTGTGGTGTTGTAGAAGGCTTAAAGAGGGTAGTCAAAATTAGCATTACTTAATGGTGAAGGGGGAGAGAGAGATAAATAAGTGTTCAAGGTCCTATAATGACCTGTGGATTGTGAAATTAGGTTAAAAAGGTCGTCTTCTTAACTAATCAATGCAAAGTCAGTGCCCAATATCGAATTGGATATAATGAGAACATCTTAGCTATTTTGAATTTTCCTGCACACATTCAAAAAATTGTTGTCACTGTCTTTTATCTTTAATTGGCGCAGAACAGCTTACAGTACAGCCATTTGTTTGTTTTACTATTTCAAAATTTGAATTGAATGAATTTTGAAAGATTGAAAATGATAAAAGTAAGCGTACATCGTTGCATGGGATGCAATTGCCTTACGGAATTAAAAGGTCAAATAGAAGAGTGTCAAGTTGATCACTCAAAGGAAGGAATAATGAAAATAAAGTCAAATAATCATTTATTCACTATTACCCCACTGTTAGCGAAAGTTGCGTGAGCTAAAGTATGTATTGATTTTAAAAACGAAAAACTACGTCACAAACAGCCCAATGAAGAAATTCCATATTAAATACTTCAACAAATGATTTCAACTTTTAGCTGTAATAATTGAGTAATGGATTTTGCAGTTTGTTTCACAAGAGAGATTGCACCAGGAGTTAAGCCTATTTTTTGGCAGAACAAAGCCGAAAAGTGGTTTTGGTCGTGGTTAATCACTCTTTTAGAGCGTTTATGGTTAAAACAAAGCTAGTATCTAGACTCTCACATTTAAGGTTACTTTTTGCACAGGCAAAGTTAAGTCTGTAATCAAACACAGGCCTTTATCCCTGGAGCAAGCAATAACTGAGAAAAGTAAGATCTCTTCCCTGGAGACAAAAAGCACTTATTTGCTAAGTCGATAGGAGAAAAATGTGTAATAAAGGCCCATTCGATCCGTAAATATGTACTTTTAGCTCAGGGTGTACTTAAATAATTAATTGTTCCCTTTAGAAAAAAACAGGAGGGAGGAGAGGAAAGGGCAAGTAGTAGTAGTAGTACCTGGAGTGCTTTTGCGAAAGATTTTCAGGGCGTATACCAGGAGGCCATCCAGAGTTCCACCCCGAAGGAGGCAATTTTGCTTTGAGGATGAGGAGTCGACGTCCTAGGTGATAAAATATAGGCTTAAAGCTGTAAATACTATTTGAAGTATTCACTCTAACTTTCCTTCCAAGAAAATAGACGAAATTATTGAAAATCAATATTTTTAATGATAGGGTTTAAATGAGTCGTAATACATAAGACTTTTTATTGAAATTTTGCATGACTACCAATTATTTTTACAGTGACACTTTCAGTGGGGTCCGCCTTATTATCTCAAGCAACCATTTAACCCACACTTCCACTTAAAACTGACCTTCCTTTTCATAACTGCGTATCTGACTGTTGTCCCACGATTAGAAGCTACAACAGCGTTTTGCGCCGCCATGGAATGCAAATAAACAATTAACTTTATTTTTACATATATTGCCAACATAATTTTCACCTTTCCTTGGTGGTAATCAATCAGCTATGTATACTAGAATGCGGTCTTTAACCCAGCCAATGTATGGGCATGATTTTGCGGCCTTAGAATTTTGATGAAATTTCGGAATCTGTTGTTTATTTCCTTCTCAATACTAATTGTTATTGTTCCCGCATTTTGTTGTCTTTTTCGGGCAATCAAAACAATTTTCAATCTAATACAAAAAGAGGACGCATTTGTCAGAGAGTATTACACTCTACTTGGCTTTATTATTATATCTACTTCTAAGCTGTGTTCTAATGACAAATTAGGTCGACATTTTAGTGGCTAGTAGGATATTCTAAAAAGAGCAATTCTGCCCTATTTTATCCAGGCGCATTTACAATTTTCCATAATCAATGTTGTTAGGGTTGGGGTGTGCGATAGACTTACCTCCGCGTGGTGCACCCTGGGCAACGTATACTCATACGGCAAAAAAGTCTATTAATCGGCAGTTGACTTCCGACTTCAAAATACCATCACCTCACTGTATGTCATATTCGACTACTCCCACGGTACTCGCCTCACCTTTTTCACTCTACCTTTGTGTCTGTCTTTTTTACATCTTTGAAATACTCTTCTGTTCCCCCCCCCCCTCCCCCTCTCGACTTTTTTTCACTTTGATGTACCTTCCCCTCTGTGAAGCCTGAAGTCAACTAAAGGGCTTATGATAACTATCAAAATGCCTGCCATTTGATATAAATAAATATGTTGTTAGGGGTTAGTCACCGTCTGCTAATTCATTTAACTTGAGCGCACGATATATGTTTATCTAAAGGTGAGTGGATAAATTCGAGAATTATTTTTTCCTTTAAACCTTAATCTAACTACTGGCTTGGTTTAACCGTTTAAGGCAATTAGGATCGTACGGTCCATTGGTAATAGACTCGTAACAGAAGGCGCTATTGGCGCTTAAAACATGTTTAATACATCCCTTCCCCTGATACCTCCAAAACTCATCACGCCGGCGGCATCAGTCTGCTGAGACACGCGTGAGTGCGGTTGATGCATTTTTTCAAAAAAATTAATTCGGCCGTTAAAGGATTATTTCGCTTTTCATTGATTTTATGCAACAAAATAGACAAAATGTCGCAAAAAAAGGCAATTTGTAAACTTACAAGACCATCGGGCATCGAAAAAAGTAGGAGATCTTCAATACCCTCCGAAGTCATCAGGGTCCGCGGACACCAAGCTTCAGCGGTAACGGTGGAAGCACGATAGCAAGGGGATTGGTTGGGGCAGTTTTCACTGCGCATTTCTGGCATCTGTCCACCCAGAATCATGATAGCGGTAGCAGCGGCTGGACAGAGGGATTGAAGGATTTGGAGACGATTGTAAGGACAGAGACTAAGGGAGGATGGAGAAATTACCAAGCCGCTCTCATCACCACCCAATGGAGATCGAGCGCACTGTTTCCATACATCACTGACGTTTGGAACTCTGAAATAAATAAAAGTGGCAAATCAGTACTTAAACCACTATCCATATTTGGAGGAATAAATAAAAACTTGCATTTGGGGAAGTGTGTCTATTTTGAATATACTTCTTTTGAGAAGTAGCTGTGACCAATTGTTAGATGTTGACTCAGGATAACCGTTCATTTAGGAATTTAGGGCCTGTTGATGTTCAAATGCTATGTTACCTCGTTTATTGGACATTCCTATTTCTTTATTTCTCAAAATATTTACCTTAACTCCATTCGGTGTATGTCTAATTCCTCATAATTTAAGTTGACTTTTAAGTGAATTTTAGCCGTCTTTTTCTAAATCCTCCTCACTGAAATTTAGTCAACTTGATGACAAGGTTATCACCTTCTCTCGGTAATTTCTTTTCTTTAAAATACTCCCCCACAATCCCTGATTCCTATCTATTTTCTAATCCTCAAAGTTCGGCAGACCAATCGTTTTGTTATTTTTCTTATCTAAATTCCGGGATGCGCAATAGACTTAGCTCCATGTGGTGCACCCTGGGCAACGTTTACTCTATTAGCAGGCCGTTTACTCCTGACTTCAAACTACCATCACCCCACTGTATGTCATAATCGACTACTTCCACAGTACTCACCTCACCTTTCATCTACCTTTGTGTCTGTCTCTTTTACATGTTTGAAACACTCTTCTGTTCCCCCCCCCCCTCTCGACTTGTTTGTCACTTTGATGTTCCTCCTCCTCTCTGTGAAGCCTGAAGTCCGCTAAAGGGCTAATGATGACTATCAAAACGCTTGCCATTTGATATAAACAACTAAATTATCTGGAGTCTGTCCTCGCCATAAGTTACTATCAGGGAGTTCCAATTGAACAATTGTCCTTTTTGTTCTAAGAAGGCAAGTATTTTTATCCACGATGTGATTACCAAATTCCTTTCTTTTAAAATAAACAATGCAACCACAAAGTGGGTAGAAATTAAAGGATTAAAATCCATCTCTTGTGGTCTGATTAGCCGGGCAAGGATCCTTTAAACACCTGTTCAACCATTTTACACGCAGTTGGTGTCTTTGCAGTTTATCAAATCATATCATAGGGGTATTTTGATGAGAGAAAATAATTCAAACGCTCCAAATCTTGCAAAAAATCAGGTGATAAATGTCCACATGCAAAAAGTAACTGATAATAAGATGGAAAAAAATGATGTTCAATGAGATATTTGTTTCTGCTAACTTCTGAGGAATACGTTGGTCTTCCAAATGACTGGTAATCGGAAAAATACATGTTATGATTCAAGGAAAGGTGCGGATTGTCACAAATACCAGCTGTTCATTCCGAGATGGGCAAATAGAATAGAAGAATCTTGAAGATACCTTAGAGTGGCGAATTTTCGATAAGTATTCCAATTTGAATAATGTACAAGAAATGCATTAATGGGAGGGAACTAGAATAATTCATCCCTGTAGAGCCTAGGACAGCAATGTTTACAACAATGCGCAATTATGATAATATAACAGTATTTTCTACCTACACCATAGATATCGTTCAATTCTTGGATCGGCCGAGTAGATATACTATTACTTACAATTTCACCATTTGAGTTTCACTGAGAAAGAAGCAAGCAAAACTGTGCTTTAACGCCAAAATCCAATTCATTTTTTGGCCTTATCTTAATATTCCCCATTTTTTGCAGTAGCTATTTAAATACAGCTGATTTCAGAAGACTTTTAGTGGGTTTTGGGGGGGAGGGGGGCGCTTATGAGTTGATTGGAATGTGCTTTTGAACTAGTTGATTAAGATCTGAAAATTTACAGTAATGAGCTTGTCTTTTTTCAGAAACTTCTACTTTTAACTGAGAAGCACGTGAGTGGATTTTTTCATAACAATTTTACAATTGGAGAAGGGGCAACAATTGGTTAAAGAAAAGGGGGTTGAGATGAATTTGAAATAAAGTCGAATGAGAAATGGGAGAAAGGCAAAGTATTCTTAATTTCACCAAATAGGTGGCAAGAGATTTTGGTAGAATTTGAGCTAAAAAGTGCACCCCCCACCCAACTTATCATTTTCGCGAATTTCAAATAGAAGATTTGGCTTGGAAAAACATAAGGGAGGTGGGGGGGGGGGGGGGGGGGGAGGTACAATGTTTACCGCCTGAAGTCCTCTACATAAGTATACGTGATGATATGAGAAACAATTTTTTTCGTAAAGCTTACTAAAATATGGAATTATCAAATATGAGCATATCAATGTTTGGCGATGATGTGAGCTTGCTATTTATAACCCATGTCAATATTGAAAAATAAAGATGGCAAATTACAGTCATAGAGCAGCAATTGACCATTCTAAACATTCTAAATGGCACTCTAAATCATTCAAGATGGTTAAATAGACATTTCCAATGAAGTTGAACTTTTTGAGTCTCGCTTTATTTGATTTCAGGACCCCGTGTTTCATCATCATACAATGCATCATTCAATACTCAGAACTTTGTGACCCGTTGATCTGATAAATGGTTGAGTACGTCCGCTTTAATCGATTATATCTTCTTTTAATTATTATAAGGTTGAAGGGGAAACCCAGCCACTATTAGCGTAGCAGTTTACCCTGAGTAAACTCTAATGGGATTGTTCATTTCCTCGCATCACCTGGTTTTTGGGCGTCTGAATGTAGGAAAGTATGGAATAAGACGTTTAGATGAGAGAAGCAATTGTAAATGGCAAATAATTAATCAAATACCTAATTCTGAAACGTTCCATCATTATAGTTGTGCTCGAAAACGTTAATTACAAACTGAAATGTCTGTCAAAAACTTGGCATAATTAGAAGTTTCAATAGAAAGTTACACCTCAACTGGCATTCATTTTTCATAAAACCTCAAGCTCTATATTTGCAAAAAAACAATTTATATACTGTAGGCTTCTGGAAGCAAAACCGACCCTAAATATTGGCATTAGACAAGAAATTCTAACGTCACAGAGCTTCTGTTTCGAAGGTACACCAGGTACTTACAGTTTGGAGCTAATTATTAAAAGGGCAGGTTAAGGTGACTGACATTTTAAAGGCTGCTAAATTAGTGAAATCTTACGAGAGAATGTACGGGGGGTGCCCTTGGCCTCGCACAAACCAATTGCGAGTGCAGGAATGATTCATCCGAATGTTCGCCTAGATATTGACTCCTATCGATTGCATCGGCTAAAAAATTACAGCTGTCTGCGCAAACGCAACACATTGACTCCACACCTGTGAATGCTACACACTACGGCGCCGTCCCCTTCTACTCTTATGTCTTAAAATCACCCACTAGAGTGTGGGATTAATTGAGATAAGGTGAGGTCGTAATTTTGAATCTCTTGTCTTTAATATCTAATCTACTTAACAAACGTTCAGATGATTTTTTTATTGTAGCCTATAGCCATTTCATTTTCAATGTTAATTAATTAAAACCCGGCCCTGGATCGAAAATCAAAGGATAAAATTCAGCCGAATGCACTCGCAAATTCTACCGAATTCTCCCTATAGGCGAAGCTAAAGCTTAACAAAAAGTAGGTCGTTAAAAATTGTGATTTTAAGAATAAATTGGTGGTGGGCAACAATATGGTTTAGTTTTCTCTCTGCCTAGAATGACGGCTATTTACAACTTCAGACGAATTGTATAAAGCGGTTTTGACTTAGGAAATAATGAACTACCGTTTTTGCATTTATCAAAAAACATACTTCCTTTACCCCTTGAGGATTTGCTTTACACTTATAAAGAAAAAAATGCACATTATTAAGTGTTTAGGATAAACCATCCATCTCAGCCAGTCGCATAATAGAAAGAAGACAAATTGACCTCTCATTTCCATTGTATAACAGTTTAGACTTGAGCCCCTACACATTCAGGCTTTTACATGCAGGAGAACCGCTTTTAGGTTCAATGAAATAAGCAAAAGAACTTTTGTCGTTATAAAACACGTCTCTGTGGACGATGTGGAAGTACCGGGAGCAATAGTAATTGGTATTCATTCAGTGAATAGAAAAACCCTCCGTATTGGCTAAAATTTGTCAGGAGAAGGCCGTTAGATTTCAATATCCGTTTTAAAGGAGGTTCCAATATGATTTTTGCTTCATCACAGTGAATTCTAAGAAATCTTTCACCTCAGTGAACTTTGGAATTATTAACGCAAATTGAATCCTGCTCGATATTTGACTTGAAGGCACAAAAATACAAGACAGAGTAAATACCTTTAATCTGAATTAACTTATCCCAAAATTTAGAAAGTAGTGAATATTGCAGATGTATTCGAAATTTCTAAAATAATCGTGGGTATAAATGTTTTAATTATTGGGAAATAGTTTAATTTACTCTATTGAAAATAAATAATCGGTAACTTCCTTCTTCCAATAACATTACCGTGGCAGCGGTAGTTTGTAAAATATTTTCAAAGAGCTTAAACTTCAATGAATTCTAACCCGATTTGCTTAAAGTAGAAAAGCCGGCCTCAATCCCATCAAGTATAAAATTTTAAGTTAAACTTGCTCATTCAGCTTTAAATTTTACGGCAAATTTGGGTCAAAAATTCTGCCTCTGCTTATAACTGACTGATGCATTACTTCGGAGATTCCCTAAGTGGATAAACGGCAATGCAATTGCCCATTCTATTGGGAACGTGAAGTTGTGGCAAAATGGGCCATTGTTGATTATTTTATCCCAATAGTAAGCAATATTATATAATAAATATAATAATTAAATAAGTGTAAATGATGAAAGATTGCACACGTACACGCACACACACAAAGTAGATTATCAAGAAAAGTAATTTTATCCCATTCAATATTTCTGGTTGAGAAATTCTTTTAACATAATCTAACTATCCTACAAGCTTCATTATTGCATTACCACACCTTGAGATATTCGAGAGCGGTACTTTCTATAAACTGAAAAGAATTATTTGTGTTTTTGCTTTCAGCGTTGTCAACTATAATTTTTTTCATTAAATAAAACTATAAATTTCCGGGAGGAAATGAAATGGGGATGAGTGGCAGGCATAAATATATAATGAGGTCAGGTTGTCATTATTCTTATATACTGTGGTTTCAGCAAGCTCCCACTTTCTCAAAATGGATATAAACCCACTTCGCAATATCAAAATGTTCCAAAACTCAATCAACACTGCTTGATCCCTGGACTTCTGAATGTGGAATCGTTTCAGACATTCTGAGTTTAATGGCACGTCATATCTCGTATCCACTTACGTTCATGAGCAAGGCGAAAGGGCAAGCAGAGGCTTACAATCATACTTGACTTTGTAATCACCAATATCCTTTCATCACTTTCAGTCTATTGAAGAACCTAAAAGCGTTGATTTTGCTATTTCAGAGCATAGAAGTTGGCAATGAAATCTCTTCTGTCCTCGTAGCTACACAGTGGCTAATCGGTTTGCGCTCAAGACAAAAAAAACGAAATTTTATTTCCATCTGTGATTAGCACACACGTCTGTGAAATCAGAGTCTGAATTATTCAGATCAACTCATAAAAATGACTACAAAATATCTCCTCTCAACCGAACTCAAGTTAGTAAGTGCTAGTAGTCGCATTAAGCGAGTAATGGTATGAACAACATTTCGAGCTTATTGATTAAAACAAAAGATCTCTAACCCATTACCTAAGACGCAACAGATATGTATGCTGGCCATTTCGCTTGCAGTACACCTGATTCCATGGTAAAAGTTGATCCGGGTTGTTCTTCTATGCACTTAAATTCCAAATATTTTAAGAATCCCCACCGCAACTATCATCAGTAGACGATATCCACGTAGTAATTTTGTCTCAAGCCTATAAGTGCAACAGAATTAGACCCTTTGTAGGGTCCTAATGGATTCCGGAATATCTAATTTCGTGAAGTACATTGCGAGCTAGTTAAATTTAGAAATAATTACGCAACTTTATTGCCAAGGACTACTCCTTTTATGTATCTCCTCCCCTCCTCAGCTTATCGCCAAAGAAGTGACAATAACTTTATTTCGCTTTGCTATCAAATACTTCATAAATATATATATGAAATTTTAAGGCAGCAAACTAAATCTTTCCGAATGACCAAAATGCGTGAAAATTCACAGTCTCTTAATTTACTATTTGAAATATACGTGCAATATTCAAAGACAAAATTGAATTGACCATTTTGAAACGTTTGCGACTAATAAATAAAATTCATGAAAAAGTGTCATTGTTCCTACATATCCGCTTATTAAATACAATAATGTTACATTCAGGTCTACCCTTTGGGAATTAAGTATATCTTAAATTGTTGTACAATTTTACTTAAAATAAAACCTCAGACTTATTATAATTTTAACCACCCATTCCAAGGTGATCGAGATGAAACCGTTGCGAATCAAAGAAAGTTATTACCAGCTTGAATATTTTCATTATAGATGAAGAAATAGACAAATTATTATCCAGTGCGTTATATAAATCCTTTAAAGCATACTTCTAATTAAAATAAGCATGAGATGAGAACATGGCTTTTGAAGCTGAAAAGGAATATTTCACATTTGCCAATTTATTTGATGCGTAATGCCTCGTTCCATCAAGATTCATGCATAAAAATGCTCAAGAAAGTGGAAATTTAGCGGGCCACTAATATACAAAAAAATTTGACATTTAAGAGCACAAAGGTAATGAATAATCAGAATTTTAAGCAAACCTCCGGAAAACAGGTTCTATGCTGTAGTTTCAAAAGATATAATTAACTGAAAATTAGTGAAAATCCAAATTCTATTAGCTATCTTGACATATTTTTTGAGTTAATGATAATGAAACTGACTAATGGGTGCATTTCTTATTTCAAAACAGATTGATCCCAATTTGAGCATAATAAGAGCGAAAAACAATTAATTCTCAGCTAAAACGATTTTGTTAATATCTGTGAATGCACTTACTCAAAAAAAATCATGAAACCTCTTTAACTTCCCATCAAATCGATTCAAAAGCTGAAAGAAAAATAAATAAATTGATGGAAAACCGATCAAGTGATTATTGTGACCTAAAATGGTAGCCCCAAAGAATACGTGTTTGGGGAAAGAAAGAAGTATTTTTGAGCAATGATTATTGAAAAAAATTATTTAATAAATTCTTGAGATGATTTTTATTAATCTGGTTGAATAATCAAGGATATTGTGAGATTTCTTGCAAGATCTAAATGGGACATAATAGAAATGCATCTTGAATGAACTAAGCTAAAATCATTAAGAAGAAGAAGAGTTGAAATAAACTATAAGGAGCATTTACTTCCTTAGTAAGCTGAAGAGCGCCTTGTAATTGAAGGCACAAGCAATTCCAAACCCGGTGAAAGTAAACAAACAAAAAATGAGGCAAAGTTACCGGTCACGAATGACAAGACATTTCGCTCCTAGTACTTTTGGCTGAATAGCGATTAAATTCAAAACTTTTGATCGGTTTTGATGCATATATATATATATATATATATATATATATATTGCTCTTCGACAATATTTGAGCATTTAGTGATTTACTTGTTCATTCTATTTGAAAGCGGTTACTGTCTATCCCCTATTGTAGCTATAAAGTACATTTTAAAACATTTCGATTCATTTAAATGAATTAATAAAAGTAGAAAACTAGTCAAAAATTCCACTGTATAATAAAATTATAAAAATAGTCAAATTGATGTGAATTTTAGGAAAATTTTCTGCCATCACCACACTGTTATTTGAATTTTGGAATTATTTTAAAGATAGTAACAATCTATTGTTCTTTGAGTAAGCTTAAAACCTCCATTTAAATACGTGGGCGAACGACTAGACAGATCCCTCTAACCAACCTAAAATTTGAAAATGCCTGCCTATTATTCGCACAGATCCCCTTAAGATCAATTTTTGTAATAAATTCGAGTCGACAAACCGATTGTCAACTGATTTATAGGAGGCATTTAAACTTGAAGAATTAATTCAAGTAATGCACGAGGACATGTCGGTACTGAAAATCGAAAATGTATGATATCAATAAAACACTGGGAAAAAAATGTTCGAAAAATCTTTTAATACAATTTCGTCGAGTGCCTCAGGGCTGCTACGTTTAACGCATACATCTTTTAACTTAGAGATTTCAGGTTCGATAACTGGCATATATACAAATACTTGAATAGCCAATAGGTGAATTTCGACAATAAGAAATGATGGAATATGAAGTTTTGATCAGAACGGCTCAACGGCCCTACCTATATACTCACAGTGAGTGGTAGGAAGTCCTTCTTTAATAGACTGGAATAACAATCGATCAGCCTGACATCGATTTCCTCTTAAGTGAACTCTATTAATTTCTATTGAGAGAGTCATGTCATGCATAGCTTCGATTTCTTGAATATTTTGACAGAATGACCTCAGTACAGAACTTTTAGACTTAGAGAGCTCTAATGTACACTTTCTACTGCAACCAGAATAATTTCAAATGAAGTAAGGTGTGAATGAATGAAATTCGTCGATCATGGGGACGAAAAGTCATTACAAACTTCACTCACACAGTACGTCCAATTCCATCCAACTAAATTCAAAATCTAATTGAATGCGGCTTTAAGGACATTTGGTCCTAACTTGAATTATAACTATTTGTTTCAAGAATAAGACACCCCCCTCTCATCCCCCAACTTGTCCATCATCTCTCATCTGAAATAATAAATAGGAAACATTGTACCTCTTGCGAATGTACTTTGTGCGAATGGATTTTTCAAATAAAAGAATGTTAGTGAGCTCTCCTGAGTGTAAAAAAAGGTGAACGCTCCGATTAAAGCATTAATAGAATTAAAAGTGAAGTGAACTCATGGTGTTTCAATACCACAACCAGTAACGGAAAAAAGACGTGTAAAGTTTCTTTGAATTCTGATTCAATTTGTCCAAAGGCAAAAAATAAGAGCGATCAGTGTGTACGACCTCTTGAGCTACAAAAATTGTAAATTGTCGCCGAGTGGTATCTATTAATCATCGGAATAACTAATAGCCCACTTAAGCATTGCAGCTAACTAAGAGCTTAATGTGCGAACTATACCTTTTTCTTCCACCGCTAATAGGAAGAACGACCATCAGCAATGAGAGACCATGTGTGTGTGTGTGCGTGCGTGCGCATTAAGGAGAAAATTAGAGGTGGGGAGTGGGGAAACCTACGTCCTAAGCATATTTTCCGGTGAAGAAAGGGCATCTGACTGGCCTGACATATGATCGTCCAATGGAGCTGCACCTGGACCAGATGCTGCGTCTTCTCGTTTCTCCGAACTCCTCTAAAAAATGATTGTTTAAAATGAAGAAAAATTTAATAAACAAGCTATCAATTTCCAAATGTTACTTATCTTAGTTCATATCGATTGGCAAATTTTAGAAAGCTAGCATTATTTTTCACATTCAGTAAAACAAGAATAAAGATACTGAAGTATGAGTAATTATATATTTGTTTATTTTGCAATGGCAGAGTATTGGCTATTTTGGAGTTTACATGCATCTTTGAAACAGAAAAACAAACTGACTTGGATTAAAAATCCGGCAATTTTTTTCCTTAAACGTCAGAAAATTTGCATCAAGTGACTCTTTTATCTCAAGTTCAATATTTTGCTGTCCAACTAGAATAAGTTCCCATGCAAGTAACCTTGTAGCTTAAACAATAAATCAATAAATTAAAATTAACCGTGGAAATATGACAAAATAGCCAATTTTATTCAAACTTCATAATTATCTTGGTTATGTGAACTCACCCATCGAGCAATCTTAGTATGTTGGACATATGTACTTCGATGGAGTTCTTTGCCAGTTTGAGCACTTCGCTGGGTGAACCTCTGGAGACAAGCGACGATTCTGGCTTTGGCTGTCGTTCCTGCTGCACCTGCAGTTTCGCCTCCATAGGTGATGTCTGAGTGATGCCATTCGGCTGGAGTCACGCAGAAAATGGAGTTGTCTTTGCCAGTAAATTCGCCGGGATTACAGAGACCTGTGGGCAGGCGAGGATCCAGAATTGTGGCTGTCTTGTTCCACTGTCCGAAGTGATACATGTGGCTCAAAACTAAGCATAAAGTTATTCAAAGTCAGTTTTGCCACAGAATGAGTGGAAGAGGGTGTGTGAATTTATTCAATATCTTTGAAAATGATTGCGTTCATAAGTTGAGGTTTTCTGGAAGTCTTCTTAGACTCCCAACTGTAAAGGGAGATTATGAGAATAAAGCCGACATGAAATGAGAACATACCTGGGTTCTCTAGTAAAATCGAACGCAGCCAATCTATATTGAAACTCATACGTTATGTTAGCAACCTGCTCCTAATACTGAAGTAATTGCTACTTTTCTGAACTCATTTTCAATCAGTTTTAAGCTCCGTTAGTTCTATACTATTTAAACATTTACAAGTAGCATTCATTACTTATTAATTTACAGTCCACACCTTTTGAGCATATTTTTATACTATTAGAGTTATTGTATAGAAAAAATGGCAGGCTAACATTAATAAACCGTGATCTCAAAAGATTGATTTATTAATATATTCAAAAATATTCATAAAAATCGACCTCTAAAGCATCAATAATGCATGTGGATATTTACATTAGCGCAAAAACTGCTCTCGTAATATATCTAGGCATGATGGGTCAAAATTAGGTCTAACTGGATGCTAACCGGTGCGTCAGATTGAAATGCAATCCTTCAATTTCTTTCCCACATAATTAAAGCAATGACATTTATTTTTTCTACTAATTCTTGAATAAACTTATGTACGAAATGAAATTGTGTGTGTGTGTGTGTGTGTCTGTGTGTGAGAGAGAGAGAGAGAACACACTGAAAATTATATTAAATGCACGAAGTATATTCGCATAAATAATTCCAAGAGAACTTCTCTCCGAATAGTGTATGTTCTTAGAGCCAATTCATATATATGTTTTTTGTGAAATTTAAACATTTTGCACTTCACTTGAAATGCTACCCACAATAAAATTGAGATTCACCCAATAAGAGGGGTTGAAATAAAAAACTTTAATTTAATGAATTTGCATGCACAATTAAGTATGAACTTAAATTTCGATCAAATAATTTAGGCCTTTTTTGCAACATCCATATTGACTTGGCAAAACAATTTATTTTTTTACTATATCGGGAAATGAATCGAAATCAGATGGCAGAGAAGTTTAAAATAGAAAGATTTTGAGGATAAAGTGAGGATATCATTTGATATTTTTCGGTTCATATTTCCTTCAACTTGTTTAATTCCAGATCTAATTTCAGGAAACATCGTCTGGTTTACTGACCTCTTTCTTGTCCACTAGGTCTCCAGGTCATTGTCTGGTTGGTTGACTAGACTGGGCAGTCTTAGCACTACAAATCCTCTTTTATATTTCAAAGATGGGGTGTGCGATAGACTTACCTCCACGTGGTGCACAATGGGCAACGTTTACTCATACGGCGAAAATGCCTTTTAACTGGCAGATGACTTCTGACTTCAAACTACCACCACCCCACTGTATGTCAAATTCGACCCCTTCCACAGTACTCACCTCGCCTTTGTGTCTGTCTCTTACATCTTTGAAAAACTGTTCTGTTCCCCCCCCCCATCTCGATTTTTTTTCAATTTGATGTTCCTTCCTCTCTGTG